ACATGAACAAAAAAAAACAAGTTTTCCAAAAAAAAAGATCATATAAGGCATGCAACTGCATGTCTCAATATATACAATTGAATGTTTCTATAAAAATTGAATTTCGCATGTTCAAAGATAAACCATTGCAAATTCAAGGTGTAGTCATACAAAAGGATTTTGAGCCTAGGGAGGTTTTTTGTTGACGACGTGTAAGTTGGCAACTGTCTAATGATCTTGTATTTTGTTTTAAACTCCTTCTAGGAGTTCAAATATGCAGGAGATTTTGATTATAAAATTTTATATGTGATAACTGATATTTTATAGATTATTCTTTGATATATTTGTAACCAATGAAGAGATTTCAGCAAAATTTCTGATTTTAAATAGAAAGGAGAATGGAAAACAATACGAGATAAGTTATTTGAATTCGTTGGAGTTTTTAATATTTTTTTGATAAGTGCCAGATAAAATGCTGTTACAATATTCAAGCTGAGAGTTAACGATACCACAAGCAATTATGTTTGCAGCTTCTTTGGTCAGACATGGACGAATGTGGCGAAGTGCACGAATGTGGTAATTGAAGGATTTAATAATATTGTTTATGTGCTTGTCCATAGAGAGCTTTGAATCTAGGGTGACTCCAAGGATTTTTACTGAATTTATTGTAGTTATTGTGGTTCCAGAAAATGCAATATTCAAATCATTTTTATATTTGCTAGTTTGTTTTCTAGATCCAAATAAAATAGCTTCTGTTTTATTTGCATTAAGCAGAAGTCCATTTTCTAGAAACCATGTTGTTACTGCATTAGCACACTCAGTGATTTTTTGATGCTATCTTTGCCATGGCTGAGAAAAGTATAAAGTTGGGTATCATCAGCATATTGATGATGATTTGTATCAAATTTAGCTATAATACGATATATAGGTGAAACAAACATGGAAAATAGAAATGAGCCTAATACATTACCCTGTGGTACTCCTGTTGAACTTGCTAATAGTATAGAATTTGATGATCCAATAGAAACAAAAGATTTTCGAGAGTACAAGTATGATGTTAGCCATTTTAATGCAATATCTGTGACACCAAAATCATTCTTAATATGGGTAATCAGCAGGCTGTGATCGATTGTATCAAATGCTGAAGACATGTCCAGAGATAGGAGAATAGTGGTCTAACCATCATCAATGTTTAGCAGGATATCATTGCATATCTTTAAGAGTGCTGTTTCGGTTGAGTGATAAGATCTAAAACCAGATTGTAGAGAATTGAAGTTGACAGATGATGTTACATGTGGATGAAGGCGAGATAAAGCAAGCTTTTCAAGAATTTTTGAAATTGTATTGAGATTTGATATGGCGCATAGATTTTTAGGTCAAATTCTGCTAGTCCTAATTATTTGAGCAACTTTATATGAGGTTGGGAAAATTCCGGGTAGATAACTCTGAGATAAATTTAGACATTGGAGTTTTTGCAAGCCTTTCCTGGATAGTGTTCTTTATAATTTCGAGTTTGCGTATGAAAAATTGACTTATTATATCGCATTTTGCTTCTGGTATTGTGTTATTAGTTTTAAAACTATTCGAATGTAGTAATTTCTTGCCAATGTTCCATGTTTCTTTTTGATCATCGTATGCTGAATTTAGTTTCGCCTTATAATGACTACATCTGGATTTGTGAATTGCTGCTGCAGCCTCACGGCATGCAGTTCGATATAATTTTTTATCTGATAAACTGCCAGTTTTTCTATAACAACGCTCCAGTTTACGACGTCTGATTTTTTTATTTTTGGCATCTGAAGATAACCATTTATCATGTTTACCAATTTGCATTGAATATTTTTGAATGAGTGCTAAATGATCAAGAACAGTTGTTATACTTGATCTTATTTGTTCAGCATAAACATCCACATTGTTTTCAGGTGATAAGCAACATGGCATTACTTGCAATTCTTTTATAAGCATGACAAATTTAGTTTTCTAAAATTTTGTTTTAAAAACAAAACAGTTTTAGTATTTGAAGGTTGATGATAAAGTTCTACCCGAATCATATAGTGATCTGAAATACTCTCTACAGTTATTTCGATACTCTTCAGTGAAATATCATCATGTCGATTTATTACAAGATCAAGCAAGTTCGTGATTGAACTCGTTGTATCATGTTTTAGGTCTCTAAAATCTCATTAAGTTTTGAATTGCAGGTTATTGGAGTAGTACCTGGACAGTTAAAGTCACTACACAGAAGTATTTCTCCAGATAATGTTTGAAGTTCTTCTAGGAATTCAGATAATTCGAAAAAGAAAATGTTTGTTGGAATGATTGGACTTGATCCATAAATAGCAACAATATTGTAGATAGTATTTGCCAGATTTAGTTTAGCTGATGTACGTTCATAAGACAGACAGGTAGAGGATAATGAGAGTGGCTTGATATTTAAGTTGTCTCTATATATTATTGCAACGGGTCCTCCACAATGGTCTGATCGGCAGTATTGAATTGTTTTAAAGCCTGGAAGGGCCATATCTTCTTTAATTGCAGTCGGGTCGTCCGACTTTATCCAAGTTTTAGTGAGTATAAAAATATCTAGAGAATGATTTTGCACTATATCATGAATGATAGCAGATTTTTTTATGGCAGATTGAACATTTTGGATACCTAAGTTTAATGCAGAGGTTCTTTTAATTTTTATATGTAAATTATGCTGATTTAATTTCGATATATTTGAGTTCACCTGATCGTATACCCCAATAATATTTTTTTCCATTGTGCACATTTTATCGTTGCCTCCCATTTGTTCCCTTAACCTCTTGAGCAAGTGCTGCATTTCTAGTATTTCTAACATTTCTGAGTTCACTTTCGAACAATCTCTTGTTTGCTGTTTTGTCTTTATTAATAAAAATATTTTTGAAGTTAATACTGTCCTTTAACTTTTTGGAATTTTTACTTTTAAATTTTGAGTTTCTTTGTTCTCCAATTCAACTACGATAAGGTCAGGTGGTCCTTCTGGTATTTTAGCATTTTTAGTTAGTTGAATTACTCTTTTTGCATTTGTCATTGAAAAATCTGGTTTAATTGCTTTTAGTATTGTTTCAATGATTTTTTTATCATTTTCTTCATTAACTTGTTTGTCTAAAGTAGTATGATCAGCAACTCCACTTATAGCAATGTTGTTTTCAACTCTTTTTTTGCTATTAAACTCATTTGTAATTTTTGCCATCATTACCACTTCAGTTTCTTTTGGTTTTAATTGATTTTCCTGAATTGATGTTGCTTGTGCATATGCGAATATTGTAGTTGGTTTATTTGTTGTTGCTGTTAAGTTATTTATCTTTTTTTATAGTTATTTTCATCTTCAAGAATTTTAAGTTGTTTCAAAAGGTCTGAAACCATATATGATATTTTGCCACACCATTATGCATGTTTTTTGTAATTTCAGCAGATGCACTTGGAATTGTTAGCCAACTTGGTTCTTCTAAGCATTCATAGTCGAATTCCATGCTTTTTTTATTTATTTTTTCAAATATATGAGAAGGCTACCACACTGAATAACAGTGGATTACCTCCTGATGTCTTCTGAAGGAGGGCTACCACCCTGACTAACAGTGGATTACCTCTTGAGTATATATATTAACCTTATTACACAGGGACTAAAAAGTTTCAGTATGTGTTTTTTTTCCGTGTATATATATATATATATATATATATATATATATATATATATATATATATATATATATATATATATATATATATATATATATATATTTATACATATATATATATATATATATATATATATATATATATATATATATATATATATATATATATATATATATATATATATATATATATATATATATATATATATATATATATATATATATATGTATATATATATATATATATATATGTATATATACATATACATATCATTCCTCAGAATTATAATTGAATAGTCTTGCATTGTAGTCAAAAGATGTTACTTCTATAAACTGTAGTTTTAAAGAGAAAGCTAATAAACCAGATCAGAAAAAGTTTAAAATTATTTAAGTATTATAGAAATATTATGTTATAATATTAATTATTATTGGGAATCATTTGTATATACATGTGTATATATATGTATGCACTTCATATGTGTGTATTTATACATGTATATATATATATATATATATATATATATATATATATATATATATATATATATATATATATATATATATATATGCAGCTCTAAATATTTTTTGCAGATTCATGTCAGATGGTTACCTATGTGATAGAGGACATCCTAACTCCTTTAAAGAAATCCAAAAATATCACTAAAATGTCAATACTGGATACAGAATTTATAATTTCATTTGATTTCATTCCGTATTCATTCAGCAATAATTTAAGTAGCATTATTCATTTCATTAATGATTCTAATAATATTAGAAAAGGCTATCCAGGCGTCTGGCTTGATAATCTTGGAGTTCAAGTTTCAGCTCTGATTAATGGTACTAATTTCATATTTGGCAGTTATGCAATTCCACTAAATCGATGGTCAAAAATCGAGATCAGTCAAATTTTTTCAAATGGAAGTTATTTGTATAGAATTCAAGTAAACAATGTATACTTTATATCTTCAATAAACACACAAGTTCAAAGTTTTAAAAATGTTATAATATATGCTTCAAATCCATGGGATGTTTCTCAAAATGGCTCAATAAAAAACCTTTATGTTGCCAACAATCAAGCAGTTTTGTCAAGTAATGTTCTTATATAATACTTTTAAATGCATACATTGTGTAGGCTAATAATTTATTTTCAAGGTGTATGTTATTTTGTAAAATAACACAAATTTGTGAATTGACTTTAGTTTGAAGATAATTTAATTGAATTCATTTCAGAATTTTTTCAATATAAAAATTAAATTTGGCTTAATAAAATTATTATGTATTTAATTACTATCTTAATATAAAATATGTCTACTAAATAAATATTATATTTATAGTACTTTGTTTAAATTGAAACAAAGTTATTAAGTATTATGCTTCCATTATATTATGCAAATGTTTTTTTATTTATTTATGATTTATAAATAAACAATGTTGCTTTATTCATTAAAATGTTTGCATTTATAACTAACTTATGTAAAGCTAATGTTAAATTACATTAAATAACAAAAATTCAACAAGTTTTTTTTTATATAGTTAATTAAGGTTTTTAAATTCAAAGTTCTGCTACACTTATGTTTATTATTACTCCCTGTTAAAAACATTTTGCGGAAAGATATAAAAGAAATTATATATAGTAGGTAGTAACAATTTTTTTTAAATTTATTTTAATAAATCTAATTTTAACAAAAACAAGTTGTTTTTTTTTTTTGAACAATGATAAATGATTCGGCTAAAGAATATTTGTTTTATTACTATATATAAGCAATCAAAATTTAAAATAAATATGGAAATATTGTTTTTTATACAGAGTTACCACCAGTCGTGGAAAGTCCTTGAATTTGAAAGTAGTTTTAGAAAATCCTGTATTTTCTTTGTTATTCTAAAAAATCTTGATAAAGTTTTAAAAATTTGCATATTTTTCAATTTATTATTGTTTGTTTCAAATATCTTTTTTTATTTTTTTGTTTTTGTTTGTATTTTTATTGTTTTTAATGGCTTTTCTAAAACTGCCACATACAGAAATGCAAATAGTTTATAAAAAAATGCATGCAAAAATTTATAAAAACAAAATTCAAGTTTTTAACACATGACTTTTCTCAAACATTGTCAAATGTTTAAGCTGAAGTTTTTATAAAATGTACTTTATATTATATCAATTTTAAAAAAGTGTTTTTTTTAAAAGGTTTTCATACAAAAGTATGGAAACCTTTGAGCTTAAAGACATAAAAATTCCCCACAATTATATCTAGTTTTTGTAAGCAAAACCAAAGTTATTGCTTAAATTTTTGTTAAGTTTATCAAATCACTTAATTTGAAATTTGAAAAGCATGAAAGTAAATAATACTCAAATTATTTTTAAACTTTAAAGTTCAATTACTTTATTAATTAATTATGTTAAAAGCATGTGAAAGGTGAAGAAAGTTTTAATTAAAGTAAAGATATTAATTATAGAAGCGAACTTAAGATCTCTGAAAGCGAACTTAAGATCTCTGAATTATCTCTGAATTTATTCCTGCAATATTTTTAATTTTAAAAAGTCTCAAAATTTTCAATATTTTTAATTTTAAAAAGTCATATTTTGAAAAGATTTCATTGCTTTGGAAGACTGAAAGTTACAACTGGAAAAGCTGATAAATTATTAGTAAGTTGTTTAATAATAATTCTCGCAAGACTGCTATCAAACATAATTACAACAATTTGATGTTTTATGTTATTTTAGGCTGCTCTTAAAGATGTTATGTTCTGGAAGGTTGTGGAATAATTTTTTTTTTTATAAGTCCTGTATTAGTCTGACAGTAATGGAGCAAATGCGCTTGAAAGTTACCAAATTTGCCCTAGGAAACCCAAAAAGTCATAGATTTTTTTTTTTTTTTTTTTTATCTGGTGCAAATTCTGTTATACTTATTATCTGTTTTCCTTTTAAACAGTTAACTTATTCACCACTTAATTAGTATGTATCAAGTTCGTTACTTCAACAATTAACTTAGTATTAATTTTGTTTAAAATGGTAATAATATTATTCTGAATTTTGTTTTTATGATACAATTTAAATTAGTAATTATTTATTGAAATAATTAAATTTAAAATATTATTGTAGGTTCTTTGCTACAAAGAAGCATTTACATTTATTATTATTATTTTTTTTTTTATGTATATTTTTTCTCTTTGGCCTAAAGATTATTTTATTTTAAACTTTTCTTTTCTTGTTTTAATATTTTATTTTTTTTTTAGTTTTTTTTTTTTTTTTTTATACTTTTAACTAAGTTATTAGTTTATTACTCGGTGTAGTTAAGGCACTTTTAAAATATTATAGCGTCTGTGTGATATTTTGTTGATTATGACATATTTCCGTGAAATGGTCTGGTCTGTGAATTATGAAAAGACGAAAAAAATTAAAATAATAAATTTTCCGGTATCATAAAATATAAATGTTTGTAGCGAAAAAACCCAGACCGTAAAATCTTTTTTTTAAAAAAAATCGTCTTAAAATCACAATCGTTTGTCCAAATTTAAATAAGACTTTATATTAATACGTTTTTTAGGTGAAATAAACATAGTTTAACAATATGATCTGTTCTGATCGTTTATTGGCAATTATTAATAATTATAAGCTCTTTCTTGGTCGGAATTACAGTATTTTTTGTGAAAATTGATAGAATTATTGTGTTTTGACAACTATATATAGTTAATATACGTCAGAACCGATTAGAAGTAAGATCAGTAGTAAATTAAGTAATTTTTTAAAAAGATTTTAACTAAATTTATATTAATGTCGATGAGCGAAATTGATCTAAAGACTCCAAAATAGTGTTCTTTAGATTATTACAGGTTGTAAAAAGGTTTTAAAAATTATATATAAAAAAGAAAAGTTTCTTCAAATATTATAAAAACCTTAAGCAAAAAAAATTATTACATTTAAAGATCTTGTTTGGGCATAATATACTGACAAAACCATGCTAATTCCAAATAAAAGAATTCAAATATTTTGTAAATCGCCTTAACTACACCGAGTAACTTATTATTTATCATTTATTTTATTAAATAACTATAAATAACTAAATTTATTTATCTTATTCTTATTATTTTATTTTATTAATTTTCTTATTTTATCTATAAAAGCTAATTGTCTAATACAAGTTAGTATGTATAAGTACCTATTAACTTTGTTATCTCTGCACTATTAAATATTAACTTTGTTGCCTCTGTATTAGTATATATTAACTTTTTTATCTCTATATTAGTATTAGTATTTCTAAACATTAGTCTTTTTACTTCTGTATAAGTATGCATTGACTTAGTCTAAACTTTGAAATTTATCTTAAAATTTTCTAAACATTACCTTTGTTAAATCTATATTAGTATGCATTAACTTTGTTATCTCTGAATAACTGAATATTTTATTTTACCTCTGTATTACTATGTATTAACTTTGCTACTTTTATATTAATAAATATTAACTTTGCTATATTTGTATGAGAATGACTTGTATTCAAAAAGATTTTAACTTTATTAGTCGTTTGATTAATTAGTATAAAGTTAATTTTTTGTTTCTTTTTACCCAAGACTATTTTTTTAATTGATTAAGTTTAATGTACAGTATTAGGTTTTGTTACTGTAGGTTGTTTGCTACAATGGAGCAACTGGTCAATGTGCAATACATCAAATGGCTATGGATTTACTAACAGAACAAGATATTTGGGTGATAAATGCTATACAGAACAAAAACAATGTTATGTATATAAAGGTATAAAAATATAAAGTTGAGTAAAAATAGAATAACATAAAAGTTATTCTATTTTTTCTCAAAGCTATTAGAAAATTAAAATTGTATTCTTTGTAACTTTTTTATGTCTTTAAGCTCAGACTTTTTATGTACGTTCTTTTTATGAACACAGTAATGTTGCTTTTTAGGCAATTTTACTTATATTAGAAATCAAATTTATTATATTACCCAGCTATCAGTTTATTTAAGACCTTTTATTTATTTATAAATACATTTATTGTTTTAAGTACCATAATCATATATGTAATGCATTTACGCTACTCATAAGTCAAGTGGGGCTATATAAACAAAAACAATTTAAACAAACATTTTTGGCTTTTCACATTAATGCAAAAAAAAAAATTTATTTATTGTTTTATGTTAAACATCTAAGTATACAATCATTTAAGTATACAAAAATTATACTTGAATGATGAACATAAAGCTGCTTACATTAAATTTTCTCGTCATGGAAGCTTACTCAAAAAAAAAAGTTTCAAAAATAAATTTATTGCCTTCAAATAAATTGAAGATCTGTTATGTTTTTTAAATACCCTTTGTATACTTAGAGAATAAACATTAAACAATAAATACAATTTTATTTTTTGAAGTAATGTCATAAAATAAAAAATAAAAAGCCAAAAGAGTTAGTTTAAATTGTTATTGTCTTTATAGCAAAACAAATATATCATTACACCATGTATGTTTTTAAGTTGCATTGTGGTATGAGTCATATGAGCGTTTCATATTTGTAATATTGACCACAATTTGTTTTAAATAAATGCTTTATATCTTGGATTTATAAGATGTTGTTACCTTTTATGAACTTATGTTACAATTTTTGTAGCATAGGTTCATAAAATGTAATAATTGGTACATATAAACAAAGTTTGTTTTGGACAAATTTAATTTTTTACAAAGCAAGAAAAAGAAGACAATCCTTACTAAACATATATGTTTAAAAGAAATTAAATCTAAAATTTAATTTCTTTTAAATATAATCTTTAAATAAAATATTTTTGCTGCTCAAAAAATGCGGTTTTTGTAAATTGCAATAATTTTTATAAATTGTTGTTGTACTTTATTTGTGTCATATTTATTTATAAACTATTGCAAACATAACTATTTGTGACTTTACAACAAAATCAACCTAAATAATTGACAAATTTTTAAAAAACATGTTAAGTTAAACAATTTTTTTAATTTTTTAATTACAACATTTTGTGTAATTATTTTATATTTTATATGACCTAAAATGTCTATGTATGATAAATAGTTTTTTAGTTTTGTTGTTTCAAAAATAACATGAACAAATATAATTTTAACTAAATGTATAACTTTTTAAATTTCAGATTTTATAAATTTAGCAAATTTAGTGATTAGTAAATTAACTAATGCTGTAGAGGTGTAGTGGTAGAGTGTTAGCCTCATAAACAAGAAATTTTGAGTTCAATCCCCAACACATCCCTGGTAGTATCAGGCTCAACTTGCTTCTCTGTACAGCAGCTATTTGCGTCAAAGTTGGTGTTTCATAGTTATAATGTTTAGAGAGCGTTGTAGCCACAACCCTCAATATTATTCTTAGTCTTATAGTCTTTGAGTTATTGAATTTAGCAATAAAGTATAAAAGAAGTTTTCAACTTGCCTCTTCACATTTTGATAAATTAAATTATTTATATCTGTCAAACATTGCTTCACACTGTTTCTATACAAGGGCATGATTGAATTTTGTTAGGATTTCCAAAAATTCTAATGATTAGGATGGTATTTATATAATAATAATAATAATTATAATAGTAATAATAATAATAATAATAATAACAAAAATAATAACAATAATAATGATAACAATAATAACAAAGTAATAATTAAATAAGGAAAGAAATGAATAGAAAAAAAGAATATAATTATAGAAACCTCCCCCTCCTCTTCTAGAAAAAATAATTGTAGAAACCTCTCTCTCTTCTTCTAAAGAAAATATTTGTAGAAACCTCCCTCTTCTTTTTTAGGGGTACAACTAGCAAAGTTTTTTATGATATTATTTCATCAATGTTATTTAATAGTAGTTAATGTATGTTTTTTTTTAATAACATTTTTTATTAATGACTGTATTAATAAAATATTTTAGCTCCATTGTGGAATGTTTTTAACGCAGTTTCTATGCAAGGGTACATTTGAATTTTTTTTTTAATTTAATTTTTTTCTTTACCAATAAAATGTTTCAATTTTCAGAAGTTCAATATTTTTTGTAGCTAAATTTATATTTAGCTACAAAAAATAATGAGCATCTGATTAAAATAAGGATAAAAATATTTAAAAAATATGTTTAAAATGAATATTTGAAGAGATAAAATTTTTAAAATTTTATAACTTTTTTTCTCATTTTAAACACTATTAAAAATGAGTTTAAAAACATTTTTTTTTTGCTTTTTGTCTTTTCTTTGTTCAATTTTTAATTAAGTTTTCTACTTTTAGAAATTCGGTCTTCTTAAACTTACAAATTTATCCAACATTCATAAAACCATCAAATGTTAGTTTAGAGTTTGAATATTTTTTACCACCTTTTTTTGCGTTTATGTCTGATAGTGTTGTTCAACGCTTTGTTAAGACTCAATCCAATCGACTTAAGTATTCAGTAAGTTATTTTCCATATTTTTATCAGTAATAAAGTAATAAAAGTTCAAATTATATATATTTATTTTGAATTAAATTTAAGTTGTTAGAATTTTACTATATTAAACCTCAGGATCTAATCTCAATTATGTATTTGCTTATTTAACGGAAACCAATACAAAAAGATTCATTAAATAAATTTGTTGTATTATTAATCTCTGGATAGTTTATTGAATAATAATTTATAGTTTATTAGTTTTAAAATGAAGTTGTTTTTTATTATATGCTAAAATTTTTTATTAGTTTATTATTTGTTGGAACATAAGTTAGTTAATTTAACTAATTTTTTTTGAAAAATAAATCTAAATAAATTATTTACATTGCTAGATGTTTGTGCGTTTTACTTAGAACCTCTGCAGTTGCTTCTGCTGAAAATGTTGATGTGATTATATTTCTTAAGATATTTATTTCCTAACAAAATAACAATTTGAAGTAAACATAAGTCATAAGGTTATTTTTATTGGAAAAAAGACTTTCATTTATCGTTTCTTGATCAGATAATCATATTGATTACTATCATCTTTAAAAGTGGAAAATATTTTAAAAACAAATTAAAAATGAACGACATAAAAGCAAAGATAAGAGTTTTGTTTAATATTTAACAAAACAATGAAAGCAATTTAAAAAATGAGATTGTTATCACTGCTTTTCTCCTTATTTCTAAAATAATTTTTTATGATATTAAATGACTTTTTTTTAATTCTGTTTTTTTTTTTTTTTTTTTAATTTAGTTCAATGGAAATTTTACTTATTCGGATTTATTTAATTACAATTTTACTGCAACTTATAACAACTCGCTGTGTCCAATCACTGGTGTATTTATATTGCAAATTCCCTTGATATTATCACTCCAAGTTGAAACAGAAAAACGTGAGAGAATAGTTAGAACATTTCAAAAACAAGTTGAATGTTACAACAATCCAAAAATACCAATCAGTCCAAATCAAGAATTTCTTAAAGGTTTTTTTTTTAATTGTTTTTTGAACACAATTAAACTTGTTTTACAGTTTATATTGTTAGTGTTTTTTTTTTTTTTAAACTATTTGTCTACTTCAACATATAGAAAGCTATGGGCGAGGAATGTATTGGGATGAATATAACAAGCATATATATGTATGTATGAGTCAACATTATCCCAGGTAAAGAGTTGTAACTTTTTATTTGAAGTTAAGTGTATTTTAAGATTTTATGTTTAACAATTCATAAAAAAGGTAAAATGAATTCTGTTTTTTTTTTTTTTATTATTTGAAATGAATCAGCTTATTGTTGTTATAGCTAAATGAGTACTAAATATTCCTAAACTTTGTTGAGGAACTTTGCAATAATGCACTAAATAATAATTTTGTATTATATATTTACGTGTGTTTACATATATATCAGCCTTTGGATTTGAGAAAAATAAGGTCGGCATTAATTATCCGATCTTAATCTGTGTGAGGTCGGTATTGTGTTAGCAGAGAAAATGTAAAACAAAGGTTTGATCATAAAACAGAGAAATGAGGTTGGCAACTTGTTATTCATATGAATAATTGTATTAATATATAATAATAATAATAAATAATTACATTTATTATTATAATATTAATAATTATATATATATATATATATATATATATATATATATATATATATATATATATATATATATATATATATATATATATATATATATATATATATATATATATATATATATATATATATATATATATATATATATATATATATATATATATATATATATATATATATATATATATATATATATATATATATATATATAGGCCTTAAAATGTCATTTTTCCATTTATTATATTTATCACAAATTTACTTGTTTATTGATACTGCATATTTTCCAGTCTATATATATATATACTTATTTGATTGTAAATACAAATTTGACAATCCATGGATGTGCAAAGCATCATTAAAATTTATCAAATCATTTTTAATTAGAGTAAAGATGTTGGAAATACAAGTTTTTATTCTGTTGCTACAAATATTTGATAAATTAGGCTTTTTGATTATAATCTTCAGATATAAATATAATATATAGAAATTTTTTATATTCAGTAAATAAAAATTTATAAAACTTTTAATAAATATTTTAAAGCTGTTCATTGCTATTTTTGTACATTTTTTTTATACATTAAATGTGGATAAAAAATATATGTATAGATTATAAAATAATTTTTTTTTTTACCGGTTCTAGTGCAATAAACTAAACTAATACAAAATATAATTATAAATAAAAATACCAAAATCTATACAAAATTTAATAGATAAGACTTACATGTGTATCAGTTATTGTCATAAGATATTAACTTTTTAAAATTCAGTTGCACTTTATTAAGGTATAATAGTAACTCTAATACCTCCAAAATGTGAGCTTATAGCAAAAGTAAAATCAATTGAATAAAAAAGAATTATGATTCCAAATTATTTCAAATTGGTATCCGAAGAGTGTTATGCAAATTTATGTAAAGATGCAAAGTGCTATGCAAATTAATGAAATGATGACATTGTTGCAATATAACTTTTGATATAAATCTGTGATACAAAAGACAAAGCAAATGTTCCTAAATTAAAACTAATCATGGCAAGTCAACTTTTGCATTAAATAAAATTAAAATTAATATAGAAACTACAAATAAAAATGGTTCCTAATGCAAATTTCAATTTACTTTATATTTAAAGATTTAATACTGTAAGTCTGATTGAGTTTTTAACAAATTATTAAAGCCAAAAAATGAAATGTTTGACTTTTGACGTTCGGATTTATAACAATAGTTTTGATGAATTTCACACTGTTCTTTAAAACTTTCAAATTAAAAATTCATATGTTTCAATATTTACAGCATCCATATTTTGTTGATACTTATTCTCACTTGCCAAATAAGCTTAAAAAAAAACCTTATCCTGCTTAATTTTTTCAAAAACCGAATCTTTTTATTTTGTAAAAGTCTCAAAATATATTGCAATCACAATGTGAGATAAAACCTTCTTTAACATTTTATTGGCATAGTAAAAGCATGTGCAAAATGATTTTACAATATATATTGGTATACCAATGGCTATAATTGCATGTTGCAACTCTTCTACTTTTACTGTTTATATAACGGTTCTAAAAATTATTTGATTTCTGAAATTAATTTTTGTCTTTCTTTTTTCATCAGTTAGCAGACTACAACATCTAAGTCAGAAATCATAATCTAAATTGTTTTTTTTTAATTTACTGATCTACAATTCACACACGTTAACTTCTTTTAAACTACTTTATAACAAGTCATTGCTCACACTTATTAGAAACATTATAAAGAAATGGATCCCAGGGTCTTCCTGGGTCCTAAGATTCTGTCCCACAGGATCTTATGTTTTATTAGTTACATAGTAAAAATTATTTTATCAGTTGTTACTGAAATATATGATTAAACGTAAATCAATATATTATTGAAGCATGTAAAACAAGTTTTCTTATGTGTTATTCTATTTGTTAAATGCCACATTAAACATTAAATATTTACTTTAGTACAAAACCTGTATGTTATTTCTCGGATGATGAAGGATATTTATGGACAGGTGATTTGAATTTTTTAATTATTAGTTTAATTTAAATTGTTCAAGGTTATGAAAGCAAGTTTTTTTATTTTAATCTTGCTATAAGAATTATCAATTGAGATTTTATTTTTAGAAAATATAAAAAAAATATATAAAATAATAACTATTTCATGTAGAAAAATCAGTAATCCCAGGAAAACTTTTTTACTGTCATAAGGTTGATCAAGAAATTCTGATTTAAGTTGAAAAATAATGTTTACATTGCAACATTAACACGATAATGTTCAAAATATTGGGCCAATAATGGGCATAAAATAATGCCCAATATTGCGTAATGCGTAAAATAGTTTAAAATATTATCCCAATATATATTAAGCATATGTATTGAGTATTTTCAATTAAATTTTTATTATTAAAAAATAATTAAAAATATTGTCTTCTACAAATTTTTAATAATTAAAAATTATTAAAGTTTTCTTGTTTAAATGATACTATAGTACCAAGCTGCATTATTCTTTTGACAGGTTATAGTCTAGGAGACAGTTAAACAGGTTATAGTCTAGGAGACAATGATCATAGCTTAATAACATGCTTTAAGAAAAAAAAAATTGTAAACCATTAAATTTATTTGAAGTTATATGAAATAAATACAAATGAAAAAAAGAGGTATAAAGAGCTCCAAAATCAAAGTATAATAAAATAAAATCAATGCTATTTAAATACAGGCACGAATATATATATATATATATATATATATATATATATATATATATATATATATATATATATATATATATATATATATATATATATATATATATATATATATATATATACATATATATATATATATATATATATATATATATATATATATATATATATATATATATATATATATATATATATATATATATATATATATATATATATATATATATATATATATATATATATATATATATATATATATATATATATATATATATATATATATATATATATATATATATATATATATATATATATATATATATATATATATATATATATATATATATATATACTTATGATAGTGGACATTGACTTTCATTATTTACCAATACTTATTTGATTGCTCAATATTAGTTGTTGCTCAGCTATGGTTCTATTATTTCTTCTATAATCTCTATCAATAGCTGTTGCCAGAATGCTGTCAATTTTTTCTTTAAAACTTTTGTCAGTAGTGATTTGGAATTGAACGAATGCAACGCTTAATAATTCAAAAATTAATAAACTCTCTAAAAAAATTAATAAACAACTCTACAAAATCTAATTTTTACCAAGGAACTCTTTCCAAAAACTATTTGCTAATATCAATCTACTATAGATTTATAAGTTGTCTTTGTTATATAATTTTTCTTCCAGGTTTAAAGGATATTTTTTCCTTTTGAACCAGCAAATAAATTCAATAAATTGAAAGAGATAGTCAGGCAAATCTCTGATGGAAACATTTAACCCTCAAACACTAAAGATTTCTTCAATCTTTGAAAAACTAGTAGACAATCTCATTAGTGTCACTTTTTTTGTAAGGTATAGATAATTCTTCATCATCACTATCAAAAGCCGTTTCAACGCTTGATGTAAACTTTAACATTTCTAACCGATGTTAAGCAGTCTCATTACTGTTAAAAAAATATGAAGAAAAGATGAAACCATACTAAACAATGAACAGTTACTTTGTTTGAGTCAAATATAGCTGCTCAGATTAATAGCATCTTGCACAGGTGTAACTAAAATTAAACAAGTAAAAACAATATTTTAAATAAAGGTAATTACCAAAAATAAATAAAAAATTATTATTTTCAGCTGCTTCTAGTTACTTTAAGAAGCATGGCTTCAGGTATAGCAGCCTATAGTCAAGATGCTTGCAAGTAAATTAGCCAATGCACCAAACTTTCATTGATCAGCCTTGAAAAACAGATTACATTCATAACACACATATTGTTGTTTTTTCATTGAAAAATTCAGCCAGAGCAAATTTTCTAAACTTTATTACCATCTTCAGTTTAGCGGTACAACAGCTAAAAAAATCACAACAAAAAAATATATAATATAAAAAAACTTCAGATTAACTTTTTTTTTTCAGGTTATTATTTTTTTTAACTGAAAATATTAGCGTAAAGTTTATTGAGTTTTATTTCCTTAAGTAAAATGTAATCGATTTTTATTTCAAGTAGAGTTTGATTAATGGTTAGTAAATGAAAGTGAATTTTAAAGTTTGTGTGGTTTGGAAAGGTTTCCATAATAGCATTTTCTTATTTAAATACGACGAGATTCAAATGAGCATGAGATTAAGATCTTATGCTCAATTGAATGAGTTAGCTAGGCCAATAATGAATATTTTTTTCATCAATGGAACACTAAAATTAAGTATTTTTAATAAACAACACTAAAAAAATGAACATAAAAATTAATTGGTCATTAAATAATTTGAAATTTAATTTCATATTAATTTTTTTTCTACAATAAAAAAAGTTATTCTCTATAATAAAAAAAGAGTTTACTTGCATACTGTAGTAAATGTACAGTTAGTTCTATAATTTTACTATTTAAGATTTAAAAAAATGATTAACAGCATTTGTTATTCAAGTATAAGGTTTCATTAAAATATGATATGTCATCAAACTTGACATTAGAGGATTTTAAAGTATCTTTAGACAAATAGCTATTATAAGAGTTTTTATATATCATATTGTTATTATTATTATTATTATTATTATTATTATTATTATTATTATTATTATTATTATTATTATTATTATTTAAGGTTATAATTTTACAAATAGAATAATAAGTTGAAATAAGCATATCAATTTTTTGTTCTATTGTATCTACTTGTGTCTGTCTAATCATTTATATGCAATTGTACATTTGATAAAAATGTACAATTGCATAAAAATCCCAATATGCATCTAGATGTTTTTTAAACGTTGTGACAGATGTTGAACATATTGTTTCAGATCGTAGACTATTCTATAAGTTTGTGAATTGCATACTTAAAAAGTCTGTCTTACAAAACATTTTTTTCAATTTATAAGCGTGACCGCAGTTGTTGATGAATAAAATACTGAATGGTATTTATGAGGTAACGAAAGGGTTGTAACTACATATATAAAGGTTGTGAATGCATTTGTAAGTTTCTGCCGTGTCATTACGTAAGAAATAATAGCTCATGCTAGTTAAATTTAGTGTCAGTAGTCTTGGATTGTAAGTGACTCCAGTCAGGCCAAAAACAGATTTACTAGACTTGTGTAGAACATTTTCAATTAATTGTTGGTCTTTTCAAAACCTAGGATAATAGACAAAGCTGCAAGAATCAAGGTGAGGACGAACAAGGAAAATAAACAAAGTACGAAACGTCAAGATATTAAGATTGACAAATTAATTTTGATTATTTCAGTATTTTTTTCGACAGTGTTATTCTTTGTACTTACAAAATAAAAGAAAAGTCAAAATACTGTTAACAAAGATCCCAAAGCCTTTATTGACGAGAGAGTTTTAAGGTTAATTGAAATACTGAGATTTGTATTGACAAGTATATAATTGAATTTTAGCATAGCTTAACAATTTTTACATTTAAAATTAATTATCATAGTTTTGCCCAGTTTGCTATAATGTACATACCTTTTTGCAGGTTATTGCATGGTGAGCTATCAGAAAGCAAGTTGTATAACTTAGTATCATCTGAAATACAGATACAACATCTAAAACCAAATCAAAAAAATCATTAATATATATCATAAAAGTATATACTGGGGAACCCCACTATTTACTATAATCCATTCTGAGTATGTACCACCAACACTGATACTCTGGTGCCAATCTCTAGGTACAATTCAATCCAATTGTAGAGTTTATCATCTATTCTAGAAACTTTTAATTTTAGAAGTAGGAGGTAGTTGTGAAATGTGTCGAAAGGTTTTGATATATCTAGATATAAAGTTTCTATATATGTTTTATTCTCAGAGGCTAATGTTCGAGCATTGATCCTCACTTAAGTTTATTGCATTTTTAAAGTCACATTTTCAGAAAATTCACGCAATTTTACTTTAACTTTGCTTTTAGTTTAATTACTCTTCTTATTATATTCTTAATATAATGAGATTTAGCAGAGCTAAATTAATATCTTTAACAAAATAAATAGACTATAAAACATATCTTACAGATGAAATCTTCTCAAAATATTTTTATTTAAGAATAAACTTACTATTTTAATTTTGATACTTATAGTATAGCAATATTTGTCGTTATTTGTCAACTTATTGTCGTGATTCACTTAACACTTGTTCTCCTGATTTATTCTGTAAATGTTGAATTAAAAATACTTTCCTACTTCTTTTCTTTTTATAACTTAAAATTTTTATTTTAAAATCTGATTTTTTTTTTTTTTGTAAAAAATTATTAATATAATGATGTGTGTTTATGTAAAAAAATGCTATTATTTACAATTTAAACACATTTAACAGAACTAAAGAACATTATGAATATTCCATAATGTTACTCGTACCAATATTAATTTTGTTAATATTAACTGTTTATTATAAAGCCAATATTGGCAAACAATATTTCGCCAATATTGCATATCAGTATTATTAAATGGGGAAATATTAGTATTTTAATATTGGCCAATATTGATATGCTAATATTAGCACAATAATGTTTGCCAATATTGGTAAGGCAATATCGGCGTAATATTGCTAACAATATTAGCGCAATATCGGATATCTTGGCCAAGATTGGCCAAGATACCCAATATTGCGCCAATACTGTTTTCTACAATACTGTTTTCTAACTTAAATACTATTAATTGAGTTGGGTAAGTGTTTTGCCTAAAGTAAATTTATTTTTTTAACTTTTTAGACCAAATCAGCAAAACTCATTTTATGTATTTGTCGCAATAATGTTTTACAAAATGAAATGAAGTTCTGTCTATAAATCTAAAATAACTTATGTTTTTAAATTAAGTTTTGAATTATGCA